TCACTGGAAATCTCTGGGAGAAGTTTTGGTGAAAGGGTCAGGGCAGAAACTGATAACGATTTAAGAGGGAAACTGGGGTGATAAAGCTGAGTTGGCAAATAGAGATGCTGCTTTTGAGACATTTGGTGGTAAAAAGAAAGGAAATTGAACAGTGTGAAAGGAAAACTGAGTTAAAGGACGGTTTTAGTATGTTTGCAAGCTTAGAGCCAATAGCAAGTAGAAAGGAAAAAGCTGAAAGCACAGAAGGAAATAAAAGACAGAAGATGGATGGTGAAGAATCCAAGTATGAGAGAAAAAAGGGGAGGAAAACGTACAGAATGGTTAAGCCTTGATAAAGCAGATGGGACAATTCTCACATATCCCAAATCGTAAAAATATAACTAGCATTATGATATATATGAGGCACTCTCTTATAATTTTGCTTCGAATGACCTCAAACTGATTTCCTGAAGTAACTAAATTCAGTTTCTGAATCAACAAGCAAAAAATTATTAGACCCTAAGTCCAACCAACCACAAAAACAAGATTCTTTCAAAGGCCAGAAACATCTGACCTCATTGTTGAAACACAGGCCAAATGCTGCTATGCAAATTACCTAAAATTAACCATGCTAATTTGTTTGGATCCTACCACATTCACAATGAAGACAGCAAACAGCAGATTTCCTTTGCCTATGATCCCTGACTCTTTTATTGTTGGAGAATGGCTGCCAATATCCCGAATATCAAACACAACACAGCAGAAAAGTTGTTCTCTCACTCAGAACCTAAAACATAGCCTGAGGGTGCCACTCACCTACCATCAAACCACAGAGTCTGAAAATGGAAGGCCTCCAGTCAAGGCCAATATCATTTATCAGAATCTAGGAAGACCTACAAAGCTACACTCACAACATTTTCAAATGTCCAAGCTATCTGCTTCCTCCACCATCTCTGCCCAGCTGCAGAAATGCTGGGTGGTACGTCTGAAAGAGAAAGGGAAGAGATATAAGGAATCTCTCACCCCTGTTCTGTCTCCCTTCGGAAGTTTCAGAGTTAATCCTCAAACGATACTAATAAACTCTGCACTATTCATTAGTACACTTTAAAACTGAGGCTGTTGTTGGCACACATCACCAACAGCCTTGCTTTGACCTGCATATTAATTTATCAGCATTTTCTTTTTACTATGTTTACAATAAAAGACACAAAAAAGACTTAACGATTTATTTCCAAAAAGAATCAATGCATATAATGTTATAAAAACCACCCAGCAAGCTGTTACTCAGTCTCCTGACAGATACTCATCACAGCCATGAAAAGCTAAAGCTTACAAATGGGTTTCTGAGCCTGGACCCAGGCACGTTTTCACTTCTCCGCAGAGCTGCACTTCAGGTTTACTCGTACATCAGAGCCACGCCAAAGGTCTGGTCTTTGTAGTCATCACCCTCCTGTTCTAGGCAACTTGAATTTCCCAGAGTCTTGAATCTATTCTTGTACACTGTGCCTACGTCCACCAAAACATAACCTCTACAAGGCTCATTCAGACCTAGCTCCTCCAGAAAGTACTTCTTGTGTGTACTGCTCTCTAAATTTGTCTCATCAGCCTCATCTTTCCATTTTCCCCTAGTAAGCAAACTCAGCCGCACACTGATCACATGGCATTTCACCACCATATCATGCACTTGCATAGATTTAGGCCTTCACTTCGGCAAATTTTTCCTGCTCACAACACCTTTCTTCCATTCTCCATTCCCCAGCCCCTTGTCACCCTTGCAAACCTGAATTAGTCAGCTCCAGCTACCATAACAAAATACACAGACTGGGTGGCTTAAATATCCGAAATTTATTTCCTCACAGTTCTAGGGGCTAGATGTCCATGATCAAGGTATCAACAAATTTGGTTTGTGTTGAGGGCTTTCTTCCTGGCTTGTAGATGGCCACCTTCTTGCTATGCTATGTACAGACCTAGCTCTCTGGTGCCTCTCTCCTTATAAAGACACTAATCCCATCAGATGAGGACCCACCCTTAAGGCCTAATTTAACCTTAATTACTTCCAAAGAGGAAGTAATACAACCACACTGGGGGGTCCAAATACAACCACACTGGGGGGTTAAGGGCTTCAATATATGGATTTTGGAAGTATACAAACATTCAATCGATGACATTCTCACATTTCATTAATCAACCTAAATATTACCTTCTCTGTGAACTACTCAAAGTTAAACACATCTTTCTCATGTCCCTAGTATGCTGTGGGAAAGAAGTACATAAGAATAAGTCTGTGTAACCTTGATGTATGCTTCTTGTTGTTGTTTCTAAATATCCACATGTACTTGAAAAGAAAATGATAGAAGGTTCTATATATGTTCAATAGATAAAACATATGCATTTGTATTGTTTAAATCTATACTCTTACTAATTATTGCCTTAACAATTCCTGCATCTCGCATTGTGATTGTAGATTTTCCATTTCTCCTTGTAATTCTATCCAGTTTTTGCTTCGAGTATACTGTGTTAAATGCACGGAGGTTAAGGACTGACAAATTTTCCTGAAGAATACATTGTTCTTGCCCTAGCCAGTTTGGCTCAGTGGTTAGAGCGTCGGCCGTCGACTGAAGGGTCCTGGGTTCGATTCAGGGCAAGGGCACGTTACCTCAGTTGCAGGCTTAATCCCCGGCCCCGGTCAGGGCTCATGCGGGAAGCAATCAATTGATGTGTCTCTCTCACATCGATGTTTCTCTCTCTCTCTCTTTCCCTCTCCCTTCTACTCTCTCTGAAAAGCAATGGAAAAAATACCTTTGGGTGAGGATTAAAAAATAAATAAAAAGAATACATTATTATTTTACCATTAGGTAATGACACTCATTTTGCTAATTAGCATTATGAACGTAAAGCTTATTTTGTCTTTATACTAATTATATAATATTACTCATCAGTTATCTTTTGATTAGTATTTTCCTGACATATTCTCTTCTATTCCTTTTTCTTTCAACATTTCTATGTCAATACATTTTAGGCACACAACTCATAAACAGAGTATGTCTGAATTTTTCAATCCAATCTGAGAATTGCTGTCTTTTAAGTGGCAAGTTGAGTCCATTTGCATCTGTTGTGAATACTGATATATTTGTATCCATGCCTACCATCTAATTTTGTGATCTCTATTTACCAAGATTTCCTGCTACTTCTTTTTTCTCCTTTCCTGCCTTTTATTGGAATGACTGAGTTTCACTCAATGGCATATAAAGAACACTGCAGTGAAAGTGATGCAGACACTAAGGGGGTGCGTTTTCTGCAGCAATTTTAAAAACAGTAACAAAATGAACTAAAGATGAGTCTGCTTTATAGAAGCACAATTTGCTGAGAGTTCTAAAAATGTCAGTTTAGAAATCTGTTTTTGTTTTTTTGCTATTACCGCTGAGTTTTTATAATATATGTAAGCTTCAAATTAGCATCTTTTTATCTTTTAACATTGTATTCAACAAAAAGTTAATCTGAAGAACTCCCAGTTATACAGTCTGCACCACAAACATACTCAGCTACACACATTTTTGGATAATGTTTTTAATTGTTCAAAATCATTCAAGCTTACTTCAAGGGTAGTTCTGTATAGTTCTGTATCTCCAATTCCTGTTGCGCTACACACTTCTGTATTTAAAAAGCAGATTCAGATTCAAAACAATGGTTATTAAGACAAAGAAACAAAATTTGAGTATCTTCCATTCTGTTATTCTTTGACTGCCAGGAGGAAAAACAAAAGATGGCAGACTAGGTTGGCAGAAGAAGGACAACGTTTGAACACCTCAACAGATTTCATCAGCAGCGTTCTAAAGTAATCATCTCATGACAATATTTGCCATTATTTAGCCATTGCCTCCGATTTTTATAGGAAAAAACTTTAGAAGTTTTTACCATATATGTTAGAAAATGATGAGTTTTCTATAAAGTAGATTTTAGAAAAAATATTTCAAAGGCAGAGATTTCTTTTTGAAGCAACTATAATTGACATCAAAGGGAAAAAAAGATATTGTCAACACTGCAGTTTTGGGAATTTACTGTAAAACAAGATTTTAAATGAAAATGCCAAATTTATTCTTACGTACTTCTTTTCCCAATATTGCATACGCACAAACACATACACGTGTATATGTGTCATTTCATGTGAAAATATTTTTCAAAATTAAAACTAAAAGCTTTCTTTTGACCAACTATGACAAACGTAGATGGAGGAATCTGATACACCAGGTGAATGTGCGCACATGCAAACGCCCACTTTGTCAAGTTACTGACAGATGTGCAAAAGCTGTCAATTTCTTTTCTATTATTTCTTTCCTTTATTAATTACTACTGAAAAAAATTTGTCATACGAGGGTGGAATTAAAAGATGATCCACTTCAGGAATCAAATACACAAAGTATACCAATGATTTTTTTTATTTTATATTTTTTCCTTTTACTCTTTTGGAGGCCATACAGTTTATTTCTATTCTTTGAGCAGTTACTCTTAAAACCGTAACTTACACGCATGACTGAAACTAACCTGAAGTGAACTAACATCTCTAGGCTCCTCCAAATGATACAAGGTCTTCAAAATGAGAGAACTGATTCCGCTATCCCATCTTCCGCATTATTTTTCAGAAAGATTTTAGATCCATTTTGTTTTTAAATCCCCCAAACTTATTCACCGTCACCACTGCTCACGCTCCCTGCCTGCGGACTGAGCCGCGTGCTCACTGGCCGGCTCCTCTGGCGCCCTGGCCGGCTTCTCTGGCTCCTCTGGCGCCCTGGCAGCTTCTCTGGCTCCTCTGGCGCCCTGGCCGGCTTCTCTGGCTCCTCTGGCGCCCTGGCAGCTTCTCTGGCGCAGTGCTCCCGCCCCCGCTTGCTGCCTGAGCCCTGCCTCCTTTCCGCTCCATGTCAGGGGGTTCCTGAGGCGCACCCCTCGGAGCTCAGCAAGGCCGTCAGCAGCAGACAGGGCCCGCGGCCCGCGCTGCACAGACTCCCCGTCCCCGCCACACTCACCCGCTCCTCGTCGTCGTCGGTGTCCCCGTCGTCGCTGTCCTCTTCCGAGTCCGAGTCCTCCTCGTCCAGGGGCGGGCGCAGGCGGCCCACGGCTTCCTGCACGCGGGTAACCGGTCCTTCCGTCATCTCGGGGGGCAAAGGGGGGCCCACGAACTCGTCGTCGGCCGAATCCGAGCTCTC